GGGGGGTGGTGTAGGCGGGCCGACGGGGTGTGGGTGTTGGGGCGAAGCGGTTGTGGGCGGGTTTGGGAGGGGGTATTTGTGGGTGGATGGTAGGTGGGCGGGTTGGGGCGGACCGACTTGCTGGCGGGTCAGCAGGGCCAGGGCGGGAGTCGGTGGGGTGTGGCGGCCTTTTTTTTTCACTGTCGCACTTCGTCGAACGCCGCCCACCACCCCGTAGCCCCCGACGCGAACACACGAAAATCGGCGTCGTGTTCAATTTTTTCGCGCCATGTAGCACGTGGCGTGTTTGAACGTGATTGAACGCGTCCCGGGCGCGTTTGAAAGCGAACGGCGCGTTTGAATGCGAACGCGCGTTCAGCGCGTTCAAACGGTTACATAGCCATCAACAACTTCGATGCAAGAATAGGAAAGTTTCTTAGGAAATTCCGCCCAAAGGTGGTTTTGAGGGATCTTTCAGCCAAGGCGGTGCTTCTACGAGCACAACCCAGGGAATCACATTTAACAAGTTGAAGTTGTAGTTGTTTCTACTCATGCTGAAGTGGATGGGATACCCTCACCGCTTCAAGAGTTGGCTGAGGCTATTGACTCGCTAGTCGCCCCGTAAACGCATCTAAGCCGAACGACTTTCTGTTCGTTAAATGTGCATGAAGCCTTAGAAGACTTAGACACCAAATGGTCGGCAAGGGACCCTCGCGAGTCTTGGGTGACACTTTCTAGAGGTCCTAGAGGGGAGCATTTCGATGTGGAAGTCGGTGTAGGTGGCCGCAAGTGTGGTTAGTATAAATCTGTTTTATTTTCCCTTCTAGACATGAGGCAAGATCGAAAGTTTTATTTATTGGAAAGGTCCGATCGACTGCTTAATAAGAGAAGAAAAAACTTAAAGTATGTGAAAGTATTTGTACCCTATTTTATGTTGTATGGCTAACAAGGCCTAACCCTAGGGTTAGGGCGGCCTAGCAATAAGCTTTTGTCGTTTAAAGTAAGTTGGACGTACCCTAAGGTTAGGGCGGTCCAGCGTTTCGGAGTTTATAACTGTTCAGGCAGATCAGGCACACCCTAGGGTTAGGGCAGCCTGATCACATTGCCTTATATAACTTAAACTGTATGGCTAACTAGGCGTACCCTAGGGTTAGGGCGGCCTAGTGATATGCTTTTGTCGTAGATGTGTTATGGGTTGGACGTACCCTAAAGTTAGGGCGGTTCAACTTTTTGTCGTTTGTATTTATGTTCAGGCAAGCTAGACCTACCCCTGGGTAGGGATGGTCTAGAATGATGTCGTATGTAACTTTGTTTAAAGCAGATTGGGCACACCCTAGGGTTAGGGCAACCCAGTTCTATGCTATTTGTCGTCAGCTAGGCAGAAGCCAGACGTACCTTAGGGTTAGGGCGGTCTGGTCATATGCCTTATGTGTACAGTTCATGTTATGTTGGGCATGCCCTAGGGTTAGGGCAGTCCAAATGTACGTACTTTACTTGTGTACCTAGGCAAGTCAGGCATACCCTAGGGTTAGGGCCTTGTCTGACCGTATGCCATAGGAAAGGGGGACGTAAAAGGGAAGGAAATAAGCGATTTAACGAACTACTTGGACTAAATTAATGTGGGATTGTGAGAGATGTTTGTGTATGCATGCTTGTGGGCTCTCACTCTGGGGCATTTTTTCGATAGGTTAGTTGTTTTAGATGCTCGCTAAGTGCTGGAGCCATAGGCAGATAGGATGGATGATGGGAGGGAACCTTGGCATAAGATAGGATTGACCCTGCTAGGAGCTAGGATCAGAATAGCTCACGGTCTCACCTAGAGATCGTGCAGACTGTCATCGATTCTGAATTATCAAGCAGGTGTCAGGAGTTAGTCCCAAGTATAACTTTGTTTTGTATCTCTGTTTTCAGTTTTGTATAAATCTTGGCAGCCTCGTGTTCCTACGGGAAACGTTGCCGAAATTTCTACAAATCTGAAAGAGTTAGTCATTTTGGACTCATAGAATTTCTGGAAAGGCACTTTTACTACGGGAAGCGTTGCCGAAATTTTGTAAAACTTGGAGAGTTAGATTGTTTTTTGCTAGGAGAAATCTGGCAATCCATCCTGTTTAGGGGATATGCTGTCGAAATTTCTTATATTTTTATATAAACATCAGAAGCTAGACAAGATTATATCTTGATCACTCAAGCATGGCTTGGGTACTGGCCTGTGCTGCACTGCAGGTCACCTTTATTCAGATTAATTCAAGGCTTGACTATCTTCAAGATGATCCTGCAAGAATCACTTTCTGTTATCCTTTGATAACAGGTCGGTTTCCGACTCAACTCTAACTCACTCTTGTCACTCAACCTAAAAGGCTTTAGCCGTGTGGTTTGATTTATTGGTTGTGTTTTTATCCGGGCTTTAATTGAATGACCATTTAATAAAGATGTTGAGTACTTTATTTTGAGAGTTGCGCAAAGAGTGAGGCTTGTATGGCTAAAGCAAGGGGTGTGAGCGCAAAGAATGTTTGAAGTTGACCC